TTTCAGGCACACGAGTCCTTCCCTTGCACACACACAGACAGACAGTTCATGGCAACAGGGGCAGTATCTCCTGGGGCTCCTGCTGCCACCCCCGGAGCCTGGATGCACCTTAGCCCTTGTGGGGTGCCACCTGCTCTGCCACTATCTGAGAAACCCCACGGCCTGAGGGATGGACACGGGGAGCTCTGTCCATAGAAACACATCCCAGGCTGCATCCAGGGGCTTTGTCAGGGTTTAGTACCATAAATGCAAAGTGACACAGAGACACTCTTTACCCCACATAACTTCAAGGCCCCCCCAGGAGGCTTATGGCAACTGTACGTACTCAGAGTCATGTTCCCACACCAACACCAGGTATGTGCTCAAGACTTGTCTGTTCAGTGCAAAGAGAGACACCCTGTCTAGTCCTTCCGCATCTCTCCAGGGAAGGCTAAAAAAACTCTGTGGGCTGGTGAGAAGCCAGTGCTGGAAGTAGTGGTTCTATTGTGAGTGCTAACCAAGAGTGGTTGGCAGGTCTGGGATGCATGCCCTGGGGAGTTGACCTGGGGTTTTCCAGTGCACATGGGAATAGATCACACCCTTCCCTGGTGGTCCTTCATATCCTCTTCCTACGGAGGTGACAGAGATGGGAAAGAGAATGAACTTTTTGGCTGTGCCTCTGAGTGCCCCTCAACCTGCTGCAGATGTGCTGGTTCCAGCACATCCAGTTCAGGTGTAACAGGCTGTTCCCTGGTCCTCTGAGCAAGAGGAGGAGGAGGAGGGACACAGCAGAGCTCTCCTCACGGAGACTGCATGAGTTCAAAGCAGGAGGGAGATGCCATTCCACGTCCGAGCTTTCTCTGGGTAAGGTGCTTCTCCCAATGCACTGCCTCGCCATAGCACTGGTGTCACAGCCCCTGACAAAACCCCAAGTGGTCTTTGTCTCCAGCAGAAGTGCTCCTGCTGCCAGCAGGGACAGACCAGGAAAGGCTGAACCCGGGCTGCTGAGCCCGGAGGGATGATCTGCCTCTCGTGCCCCTCGACCATTCTCACAATCGCGTGCACTGGAAGACAATTCAGGAGTCTCCACGTACCAGCAAAGGAGGGATGAGAGGGACGAGATGATGGCGATGATAAAAGCTCATGGCCTGTCAATCTTGAGCTCCCCTATAACAACCGGCACCCCTGTCACCCAACCCGGCCCCGCCGCCTCCGAGGTGCAGAGTGCGATGGCTGCTGCGCTGCCGCCGCTCTCGCCTGCCCTCCGCAACCAGCCCTCACCCGACAAGAACCCGAGAGACGCCGAGGCTGGACTCAGTACCGGGGCGGATTTGACCGAGGAGGACAGTGGAGCTAAAAGAATGCAGAGGAGGGAGAGGAGGCCGGGAGCAGAAAACCAGGGCTGGCAGGGGCAGGGAGACGCCGTGCGGCGGATGCGGCGCTGTCGAGGAACCTGTGGGCTCCTGATATAGTTCTGCCCTCTTAGGTATCAGAGCAGAGATAACACACTTAAAGGAAGGTAAAGATTCGGTATTTGTACTGAGGGGCACAGAGAGCGTATCAGCCCCACGGACCGGTGTAAGAGGTGCAATGGCAGGAAAATAGTTAAAGAGAAGAAGATCCTAGAAGCGCACATTGACGAAAGAATGAAGGATGGTCAGAAAAATAACATTCCATGGATGGTCCCGCAACGAGCCTTCCTGAACCCAGGGCAACATGGCTGGAAGTTTCTCTTTCTTACTGCTTTTGTCTGCTATCTCACTACCTCTAACACTTGGTCTGGTTTGGCTACACCTCTCAGGAGAAGTTAGGGACACACATTGCAGATGACTGCAGTATGCCCAGACTTGCGCTGCGCTGTGCTGTGTATGTCACTTGACACACAGACGTTCTATCACAAACCTGTGCTCTGTGTAGGACTGAAACGCCCTGTCTTCATAGGGGAACTATTTTGCTCCACTGTAGAAACAATTAACCGCGTTCTGTATTTCTAAGAAAATCCCCTGAAATTTGAAAAGACGACGGTGTCAATGAATCCGTGTCTGCCAGGGTTCAGGAATACAGCGTCGGAGGACCGGAGAGCCAAGAGGCCGTTTCAATCCTACCCAGAGCACAGGCATATGACCAAATGTCTGGGTGCCAAGTGACATACACAGCACAGCGCAGCGCAAGTCTGGGCATACTGCAGTCATCTGCAATGTGTGTCCCTAACTTCTGAGCCATTGTGTCCTGGATCCCCTCCAGGCAGACACCGCGATTCTCTGGTTCATGAGGATCTTTCTCTTTGGATAGGAGGAGGATTCTGGCCTTGCCTTGAGCGTGGAAAAGACACAGTACGGGTCTGCAAGACTTGGAGTGTCACTCTTCAAGGATCTGAACACTACATCTCGGAGGTGTGCTGAAGAAACTGTGAAGGCAGACAGTGCGATTGAGAGAGGTGCGACCAAACCAGACCAAGTGTTAGAGGTAGTGAGAGAGCAGACAAAAGCAGTAAGAAAGGAGAGACTTCCAGTCATGCGGTCCTAGGCTCAGGAAGTTGGTAGCAGGACCATACTTCATTTTCCTCTCAGTACAAATGCAGAGTGTTCACCTTCCTGTAAATGTGTTATCTCTGCTCTGATACCTATGAGGGTAGAACCATGTCAGGAGACCACAAGTATAGGGAGGGTGAGTTTGATGCTACTCTTCCACCTGGGAAGATTGTGAAAGCCTCAGTACCCTCCACGTTCCTCAAAATCTCCTGTTACACCTGGAGGAGGTGCAGCACTTCCACTGGAATGCTCTTACTGTTACCATTATCATCATTCCATCCTTTTTCACATCATCATAAATGTTTTGTGGAGGAAATACCATTTTAGACTTAACCAAAAAGAACAATGTTTCCTGTGGTGTGATGGGTGCCTGGTATCGCTCTGGAGCTGATCTAGAGAAGGGGATGGGAGTAAGGGTTTCCATCTGCCAAGTCCCCAGTCCTTCAGCTGCCCTTTCAGATGGGTGGGTTAGGGCTCTCCCAGCCCCACCACTCGCAGGCAGCACTCTGGTGGGTGCTCCGTGTGCTGCCTGCATGTGCGTGAGGATCACCTACTGAGTCTTTATCCTGTTCCCTGCTCATCCCTCAGCACTTTCCCTAGAGAATATGCTGTCCTTGCCAGCGCTGGGGTTGGGATATCAAGCAGTCGTGCTGGAGCCACCTTCCTCTCTCACACTGTGCATTTTCCCAGCAGAGCAAGGCACAATCAGAGACCCTGGGCTGCTGCCCAGCAGGGCTTATCTCCCCTTCCTGGGGAGCTGGAAGAGAGGCATTTGTCCCAGGTAGAAAGAAAGACTGGAAGCTTTGACTTTGTGGTGCAGTTTGTGGACCAGGCTGGACACTCCATGAGCAGCAAGAGGTTTCTGTGCTGACTCCTTTGGTGTGGGAGGAATCTTTGTTTGTATGCAATGTTGGGAGTTGGTCTGGCAGTTGTGAGGCAGATGTGAACAAACAAATAATAGCCATTTCTCCAGGAAAGAAAGACTGGAAGCTTTGTCTTTGTGGTGTACTTGGTGGGTCAGCCTGGGCACCCTATGGGAAGCAAGAGCTTCCTGTGCTGGCACCTTTGTTCTGGGAGGAATCTTCGTCCGTTTACAATTTTGGGAGTCGGGGTGTCAGTTGGGAGACAGATCTGAAAAAACAAACAATAGCCATTTCCCCAGTAAAGAAAGACTGGAAACTTTGGCTTTCTGGTGTAGTTGTCAGAAAAGCTGAAAAGCAAAGTTTAAGGCCCCGCCAGCGTAGTTCCACAGAAACAGTTTGCTGGACTGCTTCTGTACTGATATATGTTTCTGTGCGAGAAGCACATGGACATTTCTGACTCGGCGAGATGGAGAAGGGTCTCAAGCTCCATAAGGCTCAAGCAGAGAAATGCGCTGCGACAAAAAGCTTGCTGGCATCTGACCCCTCCTTTTTGGGAACTTGGATTTGGTGCTGGTCCCCAGCCCCTCAGTGACGGGTGTCCCCTGTCCCGTGTATCATGCGGTGGGTGCTGGTCACCAACCCCTCACTGGTGTCCCCTGAGTCACTGTCCATGTTTCCCAACCACCCCTTCCTTACAGTGAGTGAACAAAGAGGCAGAGAGACCTGAGCAACTGGGGGGAGACTGGGGAAAAACAAACCTATCGATTGGATATGAAATAATCTAAAGGAGGCAACCTTCCCTCTTTCCACCCTGGAAATGTCTGGAAGTCCCTGTTGTTTGGGAAGGTGACAAACCCCTTCCCTGCCACAGGTGCCACTTGGAGCATTTCCCAACTCTAGGATTTTTTCAGGAGCTTTTAGAAAGCCATGACTTGGCCAAGCAGTTGGGCCGTTGCTTTCCAGAAAGTCTGACCTGAACAAAGCTTCCAGTCTCTGCCTTGGGCTGCCTTCCAGGCCATGTGGCTGTAGCTCATTTGGAATTGTTATGGATGGAATTCTCCTGTTGTAAATTGGTGGGACTGAGGGGGGAGCAAGTGAGATTATTTCCTTGTGACTTTGACCTTGCAGTAGCAGGAAAGCTGCTGTCTCTTGGTTGCTGTCTGAGGGTGGATTCTGTTGTTTGTGACATCAGAGTCTGTGTCTCGTTGCAGACTTGAGGGGCACAGACCCCCCGGGCATGGAGTCTCCATGCCGCCGCCGCACCTGCCCTGGGCTGGGGCTGTTGGAAGGTGACGCTGCACAAGGACGTGATGACAAAGCTGTTGCCCCCAGCCCGGCGCTGCTGGGGAACCGTGTGGCCCAGAATTGTGGGGCTGGGCAGGGGAAAGACAACGGCTGAGGATCATCAGCCTGATCCCAGCCCAGTTGATCCATTCCTGTGGCAACAGCCCTCATGGTCCCAGGGCAGCTGGGGGTGGGTTTTCTCTTCCCAGCAGTGGTCATGGCTCCAGCCCCATGCCAGGGCTGTGCTCTAGGGTCACAGCTAAAGCCAGGAGCATCCTGCTTTGGGAACAGAGTGTGTTGACTGGGAAGGCTGGGCTGGGTAGGAGGAGGCACTGCCTGGGCTGGGGATAAATGCTGGTATGTCTTATCTGACCTGAGCTGATGTCTGTCACCACTTTAGCTCCAGAATTACTCTGACACCCAGGAAGCCCCTGGGGCCGCAGAACTGTTATGTGTCTGATACAGGTGCCTGGGCAGATTCCCCTGGTTGATCACAGTCATTTCATGTTTGTTTTGCCTATCATTCGGGTTGGGGAATGGGCCCTGCTGTGGAAACATTGGGGTTCACAGGTCTGTGCATTGTTCCTGCAGAAACTCATTCCTAACAGATCCTGGTACTTTTTGTAAATGTTTTTTAGATTGTGACCTTTTGATTTGCTGTGATTGTCTTCAGGTTTGGATCCACTTGGCTGCTCAGACCTGTCTGTTCCTGCAGTTGCCCAAAACCAGCTGCCAGAATCCAGCAGCAGTTTTGCTTCTGATCAGCTTTGTCCTTTGCATTTGCTTTGGAAGAACAATTCCAGAAGGAGCAGAGGATGCCAGAGCAGGAGATACATCTCCTGGGCAAAGGGAGACCAGAAAGAGAAACAGAGGATAGAGAGAGAGAACCAAGAGAGGCAGAGAAAAGAGAGAGAACAAAGAGAGCGAGGGGGTCCAATCTGCTCCCTTTTCTCATTCCCCTGGTGCAACCTCTTGTTTAAACCAGACTTTTGGGGCATTTTGTTCCCTTGGGCATTTTGTTCTCCAGGGAGTGAGTCAGGGGGGCTGAGCACAAGTCTCAAGGTGGATCAGGGAGTTCATAGAACTAGAGAATTGGCTGAGTTGGGAGGGACCCATCAGGATCATTGAGTGCAACTCCCACCCTCTGCCTGAGAGCATTGTCCAAATGCTTCTTGAGCTCACACAGGCTTAGTGCTGTGACCACTTCCCTGGGGAGTCTGTTCCAGTGCCCAACCACCGTCTGGGGGAAAACCTTTTCCTGATATCCAACCTAAACCTCCCCCAACTCAGCTCCAGCCATTCCCTTGAGTCCTGTCATTGGTCCTGAGAGTGAAGAGATTGGTACCTGCCCCTCCACTGCCCCTTGGGAGGATGTTGAAGACCCCAATGAGATCTGACTTCAGTCTCCTCCAGGCTGAACAAACCAAGTGCCCTCAGCCTCTCCTCATATGGCTTCCCCTGTAGACCCTTCCCCATCCTTGTGGTCCTGTAATGGTTTCATGTCTTTTTTATGTTGTGGTGCCCCAAAGTGCCCCCAGAACTCAAGGTGAGGCTGCCCCAGTACAGAGCAGAGCAGGACAGGCCCCTCCCTCACCTGGCTGGTGATGCTGGGCCTGATGTCCCCCGGGACATGGTTGACCCTCCTGGCTGCCAGGGCACTGCTGACTCATGTCCAGGACCCCCAGGTCCCTTCCCATAGGTGCTCTCCTGCCTCTTGTTCCCAGTCTATGCACACAGCCAGGGTTGCCTGGAAGAGGAGGAGGAGGAGGACAGGGGATTGAGAAGAAGGAGCAGGAGGAGGGAAACAGGAGGAAGCAAGAGGAGGAATAGCAGGAGGAAGAGCGGGGATGGAGGTAGAAAAGGAGCAGGAAGAGGAGGAAGGTCACTGCATCCGCAGCTGCCCCGCCCCGGGAACATCACCCACCCTGCATCCCGCAGGTGACTGGGGAGGGGGAGCTCCCCCAAATATCTTCAAGGGTCTCTGGTGTATTCTTTGAGGGGAGATGTTTGGATCTCATAGGACTTCAAAGCTGAGATGCAAATGCCCCTTGGGGGGATATTGGGGATCCCCAGGAGGTGGTTTCTTTAGGGGGTCCTAGTGGCGGTTCCAGGCAGAGCTCCAGCAGTGGATGGGGGAATGCGGGATCCCCCCACTGCAGTGGGGGTTGGTGTTCCTGGGTCAGGCACTGCCACCTCCATTTTCAGCCCAGAACCACAGAAGTGGGGGGACACTGGTTTTGGGGACCCCTGGGAGAGCTGGGGGTGGGTGAGAACCCCAAGGACCCCCTGAGTGGTGAGAGTGGAGATGGGCAATACTGGAGCTGGGGGACCCCTGGTAACCTGGAGGGTGGGGACGAGCAGGGAGATGGGGGAGCTCTGGGACCCCCATGACCCTGAAACGGGAGGCCTGGAGAGGGGGGACACCCAACAGTCTGTAGTGGGGGGAGCCTGGGCAGGTCCAATCATGGAGAGGGGGAACCCTCAGAATCTCTGACAGCCTGGAGAGGATGGAAAGCCTTGAGAGGGGGCTGCAAGGACAGGGGGGGCCCTGGGACCCCTGGGATGCCAAAGTAGAGAACTGAGAGAGGGGGCACCCCTGGGACTGCCCAGCATCCTGAAGCAGAGACTCAGGGGAGAAGGGACCCCTGGGACCCCCAAACCCCCCGGTATGCCTAAGCAGGACCCCAGAGAGGGGGAAACCCCAGGACCAATGGGACCCCCATCAACCCAGAGAAGGGGGACCCCCAGAACCCCAAAGTGGGAAGACCAGAGAGGGGGACTTGTGGGAGGGTTATGGGGGCTGAATCTTGGTGGTTTGGGTTTCTTTGGCCTGAATGGAGGCTTTAACAGACACAGGATGCCTGATGAGTTCTAGAGATGGACTTTGGCAGGAGGAACCCCCAACCCAATGTGCTCACAACTTGTTTTTCCCCCCAAACCAGGATTTCTCCTTCCCAAACCTTGGTTGGATGGAAGAGGAGGCTGCAAGGAAGAGGAAGATGCCCTGGGACACCCAGGCAGGTGAGGAGGAAGTCAGTGCCCCTTTCCCCCTCTCGTCCTGCATCTTCCAGCCGAGCATAGCCCGTGGTTGCAGAACAACCCCGGGGACAAATCTGGGGGGATCTCCTTGCCCTTCCCTCTGGTACAGAGGCAAATCCCCTCCCTGTCCTTCTTCCTTCCTGCCCCAGGCCCTGAACTGAGGATGGAGAGCACGGAGGACAAATCCCCCCAGTAGAACCTCGTGGAAGACGCTGTTTTGAATGGCTCCACAGTGCAGGAAGTCAATGGGGAGGAAAAACCACAGAGATCCCCATGAGGAGAGGCTCCAAACCCAGCCCACAGTGCTCCAAGGAGGAAAGATCCACACTGTGACAGAAAGGCGGATGGAGCTTCAACCGGAGCTCTGACCTGGTGGTCCATGAGCAGCTTCACACCAGGGAGAAGTCCTTCAGGTGCTTGGAATGTGGGAAGAGCTTCATCAAGAGCTTTGCCCTCTTCACCCACCTGCACATCCACACTGGGGAATGGCCCTACACATGTGGGGAATGTGGGAAGAGTTTCAACCAGATCATCCACACCGGAGAACGACCCTACAAGTGCTTGGAATGTGGGAAGAGGTTTCAGACCAGCGGGAATCTCCTCCTACATCAGTGGATGCATATGGAGAAGAGGCCCTTCCGTTGCACTGACTGCTGGAAGAGCTTCAACCAAAACTCCCAACTTGGCACCCACCATCGTATCCACATCGGGGAGAGGCCCTACACATGTGAGGAATGTGGGAAGAGCTTCAGCCAGAGATCCCACCTGATCTGCCACCAGAAGATCCACACCAGAGAATGGCCTTACAAGTGTTCTGAGTGTAGGAAGAGGTTTCAAACTATGGGCACTGAAGGAGAAAATGAGGCTGCACACAGAGTTCGATTTTGGGATTTGTCCACCTGTCTTTCCAGCATTTCCCTTTTATTAGGGTTCCTTTGTAAACAGCACCTGGTGTTTGTCTTTTAGTTAACCAGAATTCCCAGGATCATCCTAAACCAGTGCCTTGATCCCACACATTCACCTCGTATCATGTGGTGGCTGTGTTCAGACATGGGAAAAAACATACACTATCATGCAGACTGTTCAAAGTGGTTTTTGCTTTGAGAACACAGCACTCTATCAAAAACACCAGTCAAGGTCAAAACACTCATTTTTGATCCTGATTAACTGAATGCAGGTGCTGACGGCTTAACTGGTTCCCACATCAAACCAGCTCGCATCTCCTCAAGCATCAGTGGATGCACACGGGGGAGAGTCCCTTCTGCTGCACCAACTGCAGGAAGAGGTTCACCTGCAGCTCCCACCTCATTATCCACCGTCGCATCCACACTGGGGAGAGGCCCAACAATTGTGGGGAGTGTGGGAAGAGCTTCTCCAGGAGCTCTGACTTGACCTCACACCAATGGACCCACCAGTAAGGGAAACCCTACAAGTACCCCGACTGGGGGAAGAACTTTGTCCGCTGCTCCAACTCCATCATCCATTGGAGGATCTGTGTTGGATGATCCACAGTGACCCAGATTGGGCAGAGACCTCTTGATGCACGTTCCTGATTATGAGAAATAAATAACCTGGTTTTATTACAAACAAATGAACTGAGTAGAAAAGTGGAAAGAGGGGGGGGGGGTTTATTAACCAAAGAGGGGGTTTTTGTGGGTTTTTTTTCTTTTTTAATTAAAATAGGCGTGGCGTGGAGTTGTAGGGTGAATAGTTCTGTCTGAACCTGACACCAGGGAACTTTTTGCAGCCTGGAATAGGGAAAAATACAAAAAATAAAGATGCATCTTCTCTGCCATGCGGCAGCCTATTGTGTACAGGGGGACCCCCCGGACCAGGTCCAGGGGGGTACGTCACAATCAATCAAAAAGAAGGATAACACCCCCTCCCTGGTTGGAGAAATTAACTTTTAAGGTTAAAAAATGGCATTCAATGAATATGTAACAGCTTATGTAACCGAAAAAACTACAAAAGGCACGGATTTCAAATGGTTGGTGTGCCTCCAGGCCCTCCCTAGTGGCTTGGGGACACCTGGCACTCTGAAATAAAACCTTCCGTTACACTTCCTTTGTCTCACAGGTTTTTTGCCGTCTTTCTAAATTCAAAGGAGGAATTTTTCCAACACTGATGACTCACATTGGGAAGGCAGCTGGCAAGGCAACTGGTTAGTGGTCTCCATATCCTCCTGGTTCCTCGTAGGCACCTAGATGAACGCAGGGGAGGAACATCCATTGGGACTCAGATTGACCTCATAAATTCATTGGGAAGAGGGGATTTGTTGACTTTAGACCTGTGGCAGGACATCCCCTCCTGGAATGTCCAAGCAAACAATGCCCTATTTGCAAATGTATCAGTGGTGGGCTGAGAGGAGCTTCTGGTTGAAACCC